ACGGCCCCGCTTTCCTTTTCCCTACTGGGATTCATTTATACAGTACCTCGAAATACACTCGAGAAACACACACGCGTGCACATACAAAACACACACAGGAGCTCAGCAAGCTAATCAGAACATGTGGCCTATTTCTCTGTATGTTATAATGAGCTCTCCATCGTGGAGTGGTGACTGATATTATTAGGCTGCCGTGTCTCAGTTCATTAGCTAAACCAGCCTCAACAACAACACCAGCAGCTAAAAGATGATTTGATACCGCCTGCAGAGTTATGTGACACCGCAGGACCTTAAAGAGGCCGTGGTGAGAGACAGAGCATGTGAGTTAATTTGGTCACCAGGGGAGAGGGAGGCTAAATCTCGCCTCTTACGACACAGCGAGGCATCATAAGAGTCATAGAAAGAAAAATACATCATAGGCTGACTTCAGCCTTCTCCCCCCAGCGTTCATACAGATCCCCGCAGATGTGGCTTGAAGATTCAGTGTGCAATTTTTGCAGCAGAGTGGTGTCAGCAAGTGAGGAGAAGTAGTCAACAACACAGAGTAGAAAACAACACTGCAGCTAACTAATCTGTTCTTAGTTGATTGTTATTGCTTTGTGGTGAATGACTCAATTTTCTATATTGGCACTGTATGGGATCACTCTGCCATATCTATTAAAGCAGCTATCTGCAGCTAATTTATCAAACTGAACTGAACTGATGCCTTTGCTGGTTTTTTAAATGGGTTGCACATTCTCTCAAAGCTAATACCTCTGCTAAGGGGGTAGCTGTTAGCATGTTTACTGCCAGCTGAACCCCGGTGGCTGTGCGAGCTATTATCACATTACTATAATAGACAGCGGTGTAATGTAGTATATAATTCAAGTACTGTCCTTCAATACACTTTCGAAGTACTTGTACTTTACTTGACTACTTGTATTTTAAGCTACTTAATACCTCTACAAAGTGAACATTGGACATTTATTTGACAGTTAAAGTTAAGTTGCAGATTTTACATAAAAAACATGCCTACTTTAACATATATGATGCATTGTTATAGGAGAAAATCCCTCAAATGTATGTTTTTAAACATTAAAATGCTGCGAACATGTTAGCGTAAGTAATTATCATAGTGTAACACAAGAGCCATTCTGCACCACAATGAGTACTTTTGCTTTTGATACATTTTTCCTATATTGGTCATACTACATGTGTAAAATTTTAAATTCTTAAACAATCATTTCAGTAGGAATTAATTATGCAAAATTGTGTTTGCTGTCGTTTTACTACAGTGGCAATGATCTCTTCTTTATTCATTATCCAATAGAGCTGGTCTTTTGTGTGACTGTGATAATACAGTAATACAGAAATGAGAAAGTAATTAATGTCGAGTCCTTATGATTGCAATATGACCTGATCGTGAATGATCGACAAAGGCACTACTGTTAACCTCATGACTTTATTATATATCCAGCTTTCCAGTACAAGTAGACAAGCTAACAAGTCTACCCAGTGTCACGTGACCCTCGCCTTGCAGGTTGGTCTGTTGAAAAAGGGTTCTCCGCACATCTTAAATCAACATGCAGGCGAATCAGGAGCTTCTCAGTTTGAGTACAGCAAACATCAAAGGGAAAACTAGAGACTGGAGCACACATTAATATGCATTCCCTCTAATTGTTTAAACAGACGAAGGCTTAAAACCACTGTGTCTTTATCAGAGCCAGAAAAGGACAAAGAAAACATTTATAGTCAACCTAGAACAGGTGTACAATTGTCACTGGATTATTTTGGCGGGGTGTTGCAGTCGTTCCCAGCAAGCAACCTCAATAGATAAAACTTTAAAACTGTTCTACTGTATTGATGATATTTCACTAGAATTTTATAAACCATTGTTTCCTGGAGTTGAAAATCAACATTTGGTGTACCAAACTGAAAGTGGGGGAGATGGACTGAAAGAAAAGCAGAAACAGGCAGCAAACAGATAAAGAGAAAATGGATAAAAGAGTGAGGTGTACATTGAAGATTTTGAAGCTTTTTCACAGGCAGAAGCCTTGAATCTCCATCTCCTCCATCATCCTCTTCCTCCTCTTCGCCTGTAGTGTTTACACACTGCCTCTTCACTTAATCCAGCCTTCAGGATGCCCACTTCACTTCGTTACCTCTCAGCACAGAGATGGAAGAGTGGATGTTTGTTGAGAAAAAATAATAATAATTGCAAGCCTCCTGCTACGTCTCCAGACGTGTTCTTTCTTACCCCGTAACTCTCCCTCCATTTCTCTCCACCTTTCAGCCCTTCATCCCTCGCTCCCTCCCTCTATCTCAATCTCGGCTCACTCAAGCGTTGGCCAGCAAGACCTCTAGCATCGATCCAATAAAGCTGGTAGTCGGCGCCGCGAGGCTTGAGGAGCTTTCACCCAAACTCGGCGTTTAAACACGCTCATTGAACAGCGCGTCGCCATGATCTGATCTGGGGATGGAGGGCGGCGGGGGAGTGTGGAGGGTGCTTGATATTTTTCTTCTTTCTGCCTCTTCTTATTTTCCTCTTAGAAGTGTAATCAATAACAGTCACATTGGTTGGAAGTGGGCAAACGCATGCACACACACACACACATCTCCAAATCTCAATTACCTTCCCTGCCAATCCACCAAATGTTTGTTTGCCAGCACCAGACTTTAATATCCACTTGTGAGAATAGATGAGGGAGTAGGAGACAAAATGTGCTACCTAAAAAGAAGTATATTGCTTTTTGCTGGGATAAAGTAAATGCAGTTTGACATTTTGTGCCTGTTTAAAAGTAAGCGGGTTTCCTTCTCCAATGAGCATGCATCATCATAGACGCCATTTCATTCGCTGATACACAGCAGCAGCTGCAGAGGGGAAAGCAAAGATACTAACATTTCTGGGAGTATCTTTGTATTTAAGTTCACAGAAGTGTATTTGGTCCTCATAAGAACATAAAGAAAGATCCATAATTCTTTATATGTGCAGCGGTTAGGTTAAAATCTAGTAACTGATTTAGTATTAAGGTTAGAGTAATTAGACTTGGTTGAGATTATGCTTAGTGAGTTGGACGTCCAGTGGCTTTAATATAGGTTATCTTTAAATTTAAATTAAAGGGTCAGTTCAGCCAAATTATTTTACAAAAAAAAAAGATTTCACTTCACCACACCCTGTGGGATCTAGTCTTGACGATAGTTTGGATTTAATGTGCTGAGGTTTTGACACATCCATCTCTGAGATTTGTGCTGCCATTTGAATACAAAAGACGTGCACAGAATTTTTCTTGTGGAAATAACAGCTTTTAAAAATGACATTTAAATGTAACAGTGTCATCTTTTTCGAGACAGTGTCCCATTTACTCTAGATAATGTAAAAAAAAAAACAGGAACTACTTTACAGAGAAACAAAATGGTCCCTGTATAAAAACTGTGGGCTGAATGTTTTGTTGATTATCCTTAAGACCTTAGTGTGCTTCAAACAAAGTTCTTATCAGATTATGTAACCGTGTCGGAGACCCAATTCAGGTGGGGCCGCTTCTGACCCTTTTTGTAAGCTTTTAAAAACAATTATACACACTATACGCAGTTCAACACCATGAATGCCTTTGAGCAGAGAGCGTGCTCTGTATTTGTTCTAATAATTGCATAGAAACATGCAAAAGACCAAAAGGAGTTTATGTTGGCAGGCTTTTCGCCCCACCTTTTGCCTTAGGAAGCAGTCAAATGACACGCTGTACAATCTAATCTTCATTTAAAGCAAACTGAGTCCTTTAGCAATGATTGTCGAGATAAAACAACTTGCATGACTAGATAACACTAGAAGTTTGTGTTTGTTTTGTTAGTTTTTTTGTAATTTAGCTGACCTTTAGAACCAATAAATCAGTCTACATTCTTTGATAAATACGTCTTTCCACTGGCGGTTTTGTAGAAGAACAAGCATGGGATTTCTTTCTCATCTACATTATCTGCCACTTGGCATCATTGATCATGGATGTTTGTCAGCACAGGTGTCTGCAACAAATCCACAGATGACAGCAGTCCAACATAACAAAAAAAAAAAAAAAGTAATTTTCACCCTCCACTAATAAAAAGGAAATTACTAATGAAAAATAAATTAATTTATCTGAGGCTTTTAATTAGCAGTTAATATGTTTCTTCTTAAATTTGCATGTGCTTAATAGATTTATGCCTCTAGACCTAATTGATGTCACTGAGTTCATACACTATGACGGTCTGACATAAGGTATAAGGCTGGCAAGAGTTTGTCATTGTGTGTGTGTGTGTGTGTGTGTTTTATTTTAATGTATAATTCCTCTTCTCGCCCTGTGCATCAATCTCACCTGCTGCACCGTAACAAGTCAATCATCCTGTGCTGTTATTGGACTGTAATGCCTCTCTGTAGCCTCTCACTTGACATGTTCATTAGGTATAAACCAATTCATTTACAACACAGTGCTACTGGATTGTCCTTGCCTCGACATTCATTTCCCAACACATTGGCATTTGATGCATTGCCAGCGCCAATTAACTTTGATAACTCCAGCCCCAGTTTAATATACTGCTGCTGAATTGGCTTGACAAGAGTGCAGCGATAAGCTATTTCTGAGCTTTTTGAGTAGCGATAGCTGGATTATCGCTCAGACTGAGGGAGGGGCAGGGAAAACTTTCCTGAATAACCCTCCCAGCCAAAAGTCATTAAAATGTTTGGTCTGTTTTTGTTGGCAGACGCACACAGAAGCACATACATTGATTACAGCTATGTCCTTGCTGGCTTTAATGATTTGCATAACTCATTTGTGTTTTACATTACTGTGGATTTCGATGACCGTGTTCAATTTTTGAGAATTGAATATTTCAGTGCAGCCTGAATGTGTGAACTGCTTTGTGTGGTCTCTTTGAAAAATGTGCAAGTTGTAAATTCTGTTCTGACAAAATAGTTTCTGATAAACAGCCGAGCCAATAAACTGAGGTGAATTGCTGCGCCCAGCTGATGTGTTGGTTTTTCTTTCTCTTGGCAGACAAGAGCCGGGCTGCTCTCCAGTCCATCTGATTAACTGATTGATCCATCGATCCATCACTCAACGCCAGTTCCAACGAATGGGAGCTGACATGGGAGCCGTGGGAGGGACGAAGGTCTTGCTCCTGGTGTTTCTGGTTGGATGGGAGAAGTCGCTGGGTCTCAACTGGAATCCAATCCCACGCAAGACTGTTCGATACCAGGGTGAGTGAGCAATCTAATACCAGCAGATAGAGGAGTTAGACCTCATGGGTCCCTAAAACTCTCCAATGAAAGCCAGAATTCTTTTAGGTAGAGGCTACGTGAAGTCAAATAAAATATAAACTCTCTAATCCTGTGTCTACAAGACCTTGTTGAGTGTTTTTATATTAAAATCCATCTCTTTTCTTTTCCTGTAAAATGTGCAAATATTTTCTATGCCTATCCAAAAGTGTACCCAATGAAATGTGACTTGGGTCAGCTAAGCCCGCCCATCATATAAAACCGCACTTGCTGGATTAGCTAGCAAAGTTTGTGCCAAATGATATCCTCACATACCTCGTGTGATAGCTACCCGCCAGCTAACGGTCAAGTGTGGTTTTATATGATGGCCGGACTTAGCTAGTCGCCCCAAATTATATTTGATTTGATATATTTAAGTCTACACCCTGAGTTCAAGATGACTCATTTAAAAATATTAAATATTATTCTTTCACAAGAACAGAAAAGAGTATTTTGCAGTAAAAATACACAAAATAATTGTTTTAAAGAGATCATTGTGCGTTTAGGCTTTTTCCCTTTCGTGTGTTATATATCTTTTCTGTGCATGTAATAGGTTTGCAAAGTGAAAAAGTCTACCCCAAAGAGAGTTACCATATCCCACAGAAAACACTGCTCCTGAACCGCCCAAAAACAGCTTGATTGTAGTCCAGCTTTTACTTCCGTAACCTATTGGCGTCACTATGTAACACGTGTCATATAGCGGCTAGTGTGGCACGCCCTCAAAGACACTGGTGGAGAAACACACTGAGCTGCAGCACACATGTGACAAGACGTCCAAAATAGTAATATAGCATAATATAATAATATTATATTAAAATTATGAACCATAAAATGAGCATAAAATGACATCATTAACTTATATTTGGCAAATATCAAGAGATAGCTGAGCAATTAACATGGAGACATTTTTTATTTCACTGTGTCTTTAAAGGCTCATTCACAGTGGAAAAGTGGCACAGCAAAATATGCATGAGGACTAGTTTGAGGACTGGTGTTCTCTGTACTGGGCTGTGGCTGGGCTTACAGACTGTCAGTTATAAGCTTGTTAGCTTGGTCACTAACAGGACAAAAAGTTCACGCAGTTTATTTAAAAGATGTATTCATACCATCGACTTCTGTCTCATAACTGTCGGACTAACTGCCTCAAACTATTCCTCTATTGTGGAGCAGTTTATACTCGAATAAAAGCACAACACAGCAGCTGGCGTACAGAGCTTCCTCCATTTTAGACAGTCTGGCTCTCTGTTGTCTCACAAATCAGTACAAATCAGTACTACCAAGATGGCTTGCTATTTGACAAATTTGCATGTCAACGTTAAATTCAACAGAAAAATGTGCACAGATTTACTTTCCTTCCGGCGACCAAATCCACTGAGGCCGGGCTTTAACATTAAGCATTTTATCGACTGACAGCTGCTGGTAGAATCCTCCAAGTTGGCACTGGAATTATTGATCTGGTCAGACATCTGATACAAATCCAATAATTGCTAAAAATGTATTCCATTACAATAATCAGGAAGGATTTTCCATTAATTCAGAGCTGAGGTGATTTCTGATTTTTGTTAAGAGGCCGACACCGACCCTCAGTAAAACAATACATCAGTCTAATCCTAGTGCTCAACTGTATTTGCACTCTTTATCTCGGCCCGCCTCTGCAGCCAGGCCCAGCTCTCTTCCCTGAACAATACCAATTGTTGCAAGCTGAGAAATAGTCTCGTTTTTAATCCCTCAAAGGAGAAGTGCTGCATTCTCTCTCTTGGGGATTAGGGAAATACTATAAAGAGAGGGGAAAAATATGGGGAAAAAAGCTATATTTTCTTACCTCTCTGTACCACCTATTCCACCTTTCATCCCATCTCCAGCTCTCCTTACCCTTCCATTCCTCTGCTTTCTTTTTTGCCTTTTATCCCTCCCCAACCCTTTTTTGCTTTGTATGCTGCGGCTCATCGTATGAACTCCAAATGCTCTTATGGCGTTTTCACAAAGAGCTCAGATTTCAGCCGCTCTCGAGGAGAATGGCGCTCGGTGGCAGCAGCGGTGGTGGGGACATTTCAAAGGTTGCTTTCTCATGCCGCTCATGCACCCCCACCCCCATCCTGTTTTTTATCCATACAGCCCTCCTCCATCCACTCATCCCTTAATGCTACAGTCATCACAGGTGTTGTGGTGGGATGTGACGACAGAGGACGGGGGGGGGGGAAACAATCAATAGGGAGTCAATACTTTCTGGTGAAATGCTCCAGTGTGACAAAGCAGAGCAATGTTTGCAGACAGCAGGCCAGATCACTGCAGCACTCTGGTTAGAACACAGTTGTGGTAAAGACACACCAGACAGGGCAAACGGGGACAGCTGCAAACACATGGTCTTTTATGTAAAACGCACCACCAAAAAGAATCTCATTTTAGGTATTTTTCTGAAAAACGGGTGAATAAATCTGCCTGTAGAGACACGATAACTCCCCTCGCTTCTAGTGCAGCTTCACTTTTTTGTCACGAATGTCTTTGAAGTAAAACCCTTGTCATGAAACGGCAAGAGACAGCAGATCACGTCACTTCTATCGTACTTGATTCGAGTCTGGCACTTGAGCGCGGAAAGATTCTTGACGCAAATTGATTTGCGTTGGGAACAAGTGGGATTATCTTGCCGTTGACAGATTTCTCCACTTGGTTAAAGAAAAATGAGATTTTCAGGCTCAATACTGGGTTAAATGACTTATATGGATGGGTTCTTGCTACAGTGCTGAGGAGGAGATAGGGAGGGAGACGAAATGGAAAAACAAAGCTGCGGAAAGAGAGAGGGAAGGATTGGAGGGGAGAAATGAGAAGAGAGAGGAGACAGGTAGAGAGACACAGAGAAAGACTCAGAGAGAGAGAGAGAGAGAGAGGGGCCATTCACTAACTGCCTTAAAAGGACAGAAAGTAGCTTCAGTGGAACGGCAGAGGGAGAGGAAAACATGCACACATTTCCCCAGTGTTTCAGTTTGCATGAAGGCATCTCCCTGCACGGACACGCAGCGTTCATATTAACATGCGTGTGCGTCTGTTTGCATGCAGTACGAGTTTGCAAGACAGAGAAAAGAAAAACCCAGAGTGAGAGGATATGTGGGAGCACAGAGGGCGTGTGTGTTTATACCTATCTGTGTACAGAGAGAGAGAGAGAGAGAGTCAGTCCTAACTAATCCCCCTTTGTTTATATGTGTGTGTGTGAGTGTGTGTACTGCTTAGGCTGGCAGTCTGAGGGATTTGAAGCTGCGGGCAGTGTAGGAGGGGCTTGTGTGTGTGTGTGTGTGTGTGTGTTATGGTAGGCAGAGATGGTTGAAGAGATAATATTTACCCCCCTACAGCCCACCAACACCACCACCACCCCCACCCGGCAATTACATGAGGTTGTAGAAGAAGAAACACAAACATCCTGTCTCTCTCTCTCTCCCTCTCTCCCTCTCTCTCTCTCTCTGTTCCCTCGCTATCTATCCACCTATTCTGGCTTCTTCTTTTATTTTTTAAAAGTCACATGTTGACATTTTGAATTTTAGGCTGTTGTTATTCCTCACAAGCAACTTGTCACATTTATGGAGTAAAAAAAAAATGCAGTTGGCTCTTAATGAGACATTTTATGTACACACATTATGTGTAGCCCTCGTAGAGCCGCTAATGAGAGCTGTAAATTTACATACTTTTCTTTTATAATCACTGACATAGTGCATGTATCTTGATTTCTTTTCACTTTTGTGTGGTTAATATTTCATTTTATATTCATTTTGTGCAGATTTCTCATTCATTATTTTTTGCAAAAGGTCTCCTCATCCATATATTTATACTTAATGTTAAAGGAAAGGGCTGGAAAGACCAAATCCTGCAACATTTGAGTCTGTCTCTCAATGCTTGCTGACTTACCTGTCCTGTCTGTGGCCATCGGTTCTTATTGAGGACAGATACCAACTAAATACTTTTGTTTTCTAAATCAGCTGGGCTCTGTAGTTTTTAGCACTCAAACAGGATTAAAAAGTTTATTTGTTGAGGACTATTTTATGTTGCATATTAATGCACATTTGGAGTGTTTACACCACCTGGACAGTGAATGTGGATTTAACAACATGAATTAAATAACCCATGTTTACCCAAGGAACATTGGTGCACAGTGAAAAGCGGCAGCTCATTGATGTCTTTTTAATAGTTTTTGGACAATAGTGGAGGTCTGTGGAACAGACAAATCAGCTAAGCCTCAAGTGTGAGCTTTAAAGTGTGAAATGTGTTTCAAATCCTAAAAAAGAGCAGCAGCAATATGAGGTAACTTGACTGCTGGCCAATCATCAGAGACAAATAGTTAATGTTCCCACATTTAATTGATGTCAGGCAGGCAACCAAATCTTCAATTCAAGAAAATTGCTCTCTTTGACTGTGTCAAAGGCTCATTAATGTTTTCAAAGTTGACTTTACCTGGAGCTCTAGCTGGCCAAAGAACAAGGCTACCCTCAGCTCGCCGTTCTTCGCACAGCAGCAGATGTTGAACAAAGTTTGAAGCATCTCCATCTGTGATTACTGACCCACATGTTTTGCATGTTGCTGTCTCTTTTGTGTTGACCACAGACTAGTCTTTACATATATGAAAATTATCCAAAATATCGTCTTTTTTTCTGACTGCTGGTGTGGCCCACAAATGCATCGTTCTCGTAATGCTTGCGCGATGTGACTGGCTGCTGTTGGTTAATTGGCCATTATGACCACAGGAGGCATTGTAAGATTCCTTTTATTATGTGTGAATTCAACCTTTGTAAGGTGAAGAATGTGTTATGTATTGTTTATTTCAGCTCAGCCTGCAACACAATCACGAAACATGAAACTGATGCTGCAAACGTAGCACACAGGGCTTGAAAAATTCAGAAAGTTAGGTAGTCACATTTGAGTTGCAAGACTTCTTTGTCAAGTTGAGTCTAAACTCGGGC